ATTTATAGTGGTTACCTTAGGGTATGCAGCTGTGAAAGTGGATATTGAAAGAACTGGTGACATTTTTATGTTCTACTTGTGAACTGATGGCATTTTTAATAATGTTCAGGTATTATTAATATTGTGATTTAAAATATCTGTGAGGATTAGACAAGGGACTGTTAGAATAAATCAGATACAAGGTTGTGAACAGGAAGGAGGTTAACCAAGATCAATGCGGGAGTGATGCACCCATAAGAGATTGCGAGGGCTCCTTAGAGGGAGAAGCAAGGGTGTTTGGTGAGAAAGCAGAGAGAACATACTGGTCAGGAAGATTTCCATGGTCTCCAGCCTGTTCTGACCTCAGAGGGAACTCCCAGCACTGAAGCAGAATGTTCTCAGAGAACTGAGGAATGTGCCATTCTAGCAACATTTTCAGCTAAAAGGCTATTGTGGATAGGCTTGCATTTGAGCCTTCTAGTAAAGAGAAAATTGAAGTTTAAAATTTATATTATAGAAATTAGTAAAAGTGAAGGGTCCCAATGCCAATTCAACTGACCGTCCACTCTGGCCAGCACTACACCTATGCCCTATGCCTCATATAACCAATTGTTAATGTTTTGGGGAAAATTCATTCATGTTCTTTCTTTTTCATTCTCAATCGCTCTCTCTCTCTCCACACACTCATGTAAATCCACATACATACATCTGTATATTTATTTTATAAAAGTGGAATTATGCTAAAGATTAGAGTCTGCCACTTGCTTTTTTCCCAACATAATATACCAGTGATATCTTTTTAGGACAACACACATAACTATTTATCATTAAATGGCTGCCACATATTTCACTTTTAAAACTAGGACTCTATTAAGACTACTTGGTTAGTTTTTATTCACCACAGAACTTTAGATCTTAAAAAAAATCAACTGTACTGTAAAGCTTTTAAAGCAGTTTTTGATCTCCTATGACCATACTATATGATGCATTTATTTTAATTATGCTTTGGAAATTATATTTAAGGAGGCAATAAATTTTTGTTAACAGAATTCAATTCTGAAAGCATCAAGAAACACAGTGAGCTGAGAATGAGAGCTGGGAAACTGCATTTTGTAATACTGAAAGAGTCCGACATTTTGCTTTTATCCAGGAGTCTGCCATCTGAGAGAAAGTTACAAATCAAAGTGAGCTCTCTTGCTCAAAGGCACTACCCCTTATCATTGATCCCAGACTTGCAGCAGCTCTGGAGAGGAGGACATGGTATACTGCCAGGAATAACATGGCTAACAAGGACATCACACTTCACTGAGATATTTACTCTGTGCCTTGGTCCAGCCCAACTAAACCAAACTGTTAGGATGGGAAGGACACAGCAAAAACAGATGCTAGACGATAAATAAAACTATACTGTTCCAGGCTAAAACACTGCCCTGCAATGCTCAGGATGGATGACTCCAGCACTATCGGAGGCCCACTCTTGGGACAGGGAAAGCTGGATACAAGTTGGAGGCAAGATCTCCAAGCTCCCCAAGGAAAATCAAGTAAAAGAAACCCCATCTGATATCTTACTTATGGTGTTGGAGTTTTTGACATCCACCGTCAGAGAAAGAAATGGAATTATTGGCATGACTCTCACAAAGAGAACATGCTGACCACTTCATCTGTTCAATCGTGTTTGCCTAATACCTAAATAAGTATTTATGAAATGACCGGTTAATTGCCAACCTCCCCATAACAATGCAAGTTCTTTGAGGGCAGGGATTTTGCCCTTGTTTGTAGCCTTGAACTCCCTCCCATTGGAATAGAAAGACATTTAAGAAGAAAGTATAGAATTAATTTTAACTATAATTACACTGAGTTCTACAAAGGAGAAAAATGGGTTTGGTGGAGTCAGCGAAGACTTCTGCAAAGAAGAGAGGATTTAACTAATATCTGAAAGACGTGCAGGAAAGGAGGGGCAAAGGGAAAAACCAAGGCCTCAGGTGGCTGAGCACAGAACCCTGGAGAACTAGAAAGAAGGCCAAGGCGATGGGCCTAGAGGTGAGGTTAGGAAGAGTGTAAAGGGAAGCTGGGGACATGGACAGGAAACAGAGGGTGAAAAACCCTGTACTAGTCTGGTCTTGATCTTCAGTACAATGAATAGCCACTGAAGGGTTTTAAGCAAAGGAGCAACAATATCAGAGTGGCATTTTAAAAAGATGGCTATTTCATGGGGAGAAATGCGAGATATAGGTGAAGGGGAGGAGGGCAGCAAATCACACTGCCATGTGTGTACCTATGCAACAATCTTGCATGTTCTTCACATGTACCCCAAAACCTAAAATGCAATTAAAAAAAAAGAAAAAAAAAGATGGCTATTTGATCTTGTGAGTGACAAGTGAATGGGAAGGGAATAAAACATATTTGGAGGGAATAATTAGGAAAGCGTTCAGTGATTTATTCAAGAAATGTTATAACTTTGGACAAATTATAGAGTTAGAGAGAAATAGACTAGGGTCTCTTTAGGAAAGAAAATGAACAGGACGTGTTGTTATTTAAATGTAGGGGATGCAGAAAGATTGCTATTAGAATAATTTACCTGGTTTCTAGATGATGCAGCTATTGGAGCAGCTATTCACTGAGGAGGTGCAAGTTTGGTGAGAAAGATCATGAGTTGTATGGATAGTTACAAGAAACTGACATTAACAACAACATCCACTAAAATGGAGTACTGTGACAAGCTGGGCCAAAATGATGCCTTAAATGGATTATCTAATTTATACCTAACTGCAGTCATATAAAATAGGTGCTAGCTCCTCAATTATTAGAGACAAGACCACCAAGACTCAATCTCAATCACTTATTGCCATTCTCAGAACTAAAAATGTTCAAAGCTGAGATTTGAACCCAAATCTCTTTAATTCTAAAGCAGGTGTTTCTTAATGACTAATTCAACCTGTTTCATGACAACTCATACTACTCAGGAAAAGTTTCCTCATTTAAAAAGTACGTAAGAATAAATCTGAAGCCGAATCTTTCTAGGAAACCTCTAGACCTTCTCTCAGGGCTGCCCAAAGCAAGCTCTCCACAACAGAGAGTTGATTCTACACTTTCTGCCATTTTTTTCCTGGCCGACTGGCTCTTTTTCTTACCCTTGCTTTTACCCAGGCCTCGAGGTTACCTCAACTGCCTCCAACTTCCCAGCCTGGCTTTCTCCAAATTCTCACAGTCTTGCTACTCATTTTAGCAATGATCATATGCAGGTTATCCAGCAGGATTTCCATAGATTTTCTACTTTTTACATTTTATTTCCTGCAATGTCAACTTTCATACAGTGTATCCTGACTGTCTTTAAAAGTCTTTCATATACTGAAGTCAGATTGTTGTAAACAAGCTAATAAACACAATTTTCAACTATGGCATGCAATGGGTATGGCTGCTTGCCAGCAGAACAATTTTACCAGAGTCATTATCTCTAGCTATATAGTGGAGATATAATCATTATACATGCATTTAACTTAAGCATATTCAACTATATGTTCTTGGCAGAGCAAAAGAGAAAGCAATTCAAATAGAGAAGGCCATTATGCCTGTCATTCCAATCAGTGCACATACGTCCCATGAAATAGGAGATGAACCTACTGTCCCCTCAGCTGATTTCAGTCTCTACCTACCTCTCCCAGTGTGATTAATTCTCTGGGAAGACTATGATGTTAGTGTTTAAAAGTACATATCTATATATTTTAGATATACCACGATCTTCAGTTTCAGTCAACTACTTTTCCTAGTCCTCAATTTTAAAAAACAGTAATTGTCTGGGCATGATGGCTCCCATCTCTAACCGCAGCACTTTGGGAGGCTGAAGCCTGAGGATCACTTGAGCCCAGTAGTTCGAGGCCAGCCTGGGCAACATAGCGAGACTTGCTCCTATAAAATAAATACATAAAAATAAATAAATTTTAAAAAGGCTGAGCCAGTCAGCCAGGAAAAAAATGGGAGAAAGTGTAAAATCAACTGCCTGATGTGGAGTTTTGCTTTGGGCAGCCCTGAGAGAAGGTCTAGAGGTTTCCTGGAAAGGTTCAGCTTCAGGTTTATTTTTACATACTTTTCAAATTAGGAAATTTTTCCTGAGTAGGTATGAGTTGTTATCTATTCCAAGACTGGAGGAAAACTTGGGTTTGTTGGGCTGCTCAAGAGACAGTAAGAAATCCTTGTCGCTGGCAATTCTGACAATATGTGATTTGCACCCCCACATTTTTGAGTGCTAACCCCTAAGATATGGCTACATTGAGAACAGCATATGTTTGTATAATCGCCTGACTTTAGATTGCATTCTACATTTATGATAAAATGTACATTAGTAGAAATTGGAAAATAAATATGATTATACAAGTGATAAATACATATATCTGCAGCAAATGAGGCAAAGATGGAAATCACTAGGTCTCTTGAAGTCAAATATGAAGAAAAAGAATAAAATTATGCAACAAGAATCAAATGCTAGACCTGGGTCCAAAATACATAAAATTACTGGGAAATTTATTATCATCTGTAACTTTCTGGAAAAGAGTCTTCACAATTACATGCACATACATTAATATGTACATAAAATTATAACAGAAACATATTTTCAGGAAAGGGTTATGTTCAAACATAGGGCATTTTCATTCTGAGCCACCCCTGCTGACCTCTGGGAAGATGTACTCATACTTGACACTCAGCTTCTTCAGAATTTTGTTCATGCCATCAGTTTAAAATTTAGAGCTCTACAGTAAACTTGATTGCTGACATCTATTGATTTTTAGATTGCAAACTCCTTGCAGACAGGTTCTAGGCCTTCCTAATCTGTGCACCTCAGAGAGGGCTTGACTAAAAAGGGGCACTCCACAAACGCTGGGGAGTGACTGTGTAACTGAATTACCAAATTTACCTCTCTGAGATTCATTTCTTCTAATGAATGAGGAAAGGCAGACACTGCCCAATATCCATCAGGTCATTGTCTCCAGCATGGAGCTCCACTATGCACATTGCTCTGTCCTTACCTATCCAGGGAAATGCAGCAGAGGTGAAAAATTGATGCTGTTGTGAGCAGAACGTCCAGAGATGTCCGAACAAGACAAAACATCTCCCCATAAATCCAGATGTCTTGAACCAGCTCAATGGCACCAAAGGGCATCACCAGCACCGAAACCAGCAGATCCGCAAAAGCAAGAGATACAATGAAATAATTGGTTTTTATCTTCCTGTGAGTGAAAAAGTGTAAGAGAGGAGGCAGGGGGAGGGATAAGGGAAAAAGGGGAGGGAGAAAAGACCAAGAGAGAAAACAGGATAAAGGGAAGCAAAGGAAGAAGAAAAAAAGGGAGGGGAAAGGGGAAAGAAAAAGTCACATGCTTAGCGTATTCTGTGAGATTCAATTTCCATTTCTGTAACATGGCTGAGAAGACCCAGCATGGTCCAGCCCCTTCTGACTTCTCCAGACCTATCTTCTACCAAAAGCTCTTTTTTCCTCTCCTTTCTGGCCACCCTGCCCTAATCTGAGTTCCCCTGCACATACAGCTCCCTTTCGAGGGCCAATACAGATGCTGTTTCTTCCAACGGTTGCCTAGTTACATCCCCCCCACCCATCAGTCCGTGGTCAGGAATTCTCAGGAAACCCTCCCAAGGTATGCCCTGTGACTGTAGTCACAGTCCATCATTTCACACTAGTAGACTGGCTACTGTGCACCTCACATTTATAACACTGGTGAAAATTGCACTTTTACACTTTATTTGCATCATCATTAGACGTGCGGATGTCTTACTTAGAGAGAAACTCCTTCATTATACCTTTTTATGACCCAGAGGCTTTCATCCCAGGCTATACACTAGAATGACCTGATGCATTTTAATAAATATGGATGCTGAGATCTCAACCCAGATCATTTAGTTCAGGCACCCTAGGAGTTAACACCTCTCCCCTCAAAGATGGCCAGATAAAATACAGGATGCCTGATTAGATTTGAATTTTAACAATGAATCACTTTTTAAAGATAACTACATCCAAAATACTATGTGAGACACACTAGTACCACAGGATGATAGTTTTTAAAAATGCATCAGGTGCTTCTAATTGTAGCCAGGGTTGAGACTGACGAAGTAAAAGTGCAAAAAACACACATTTAATTTCTAGATCTGTCCCTTGTCAGCCACGTCTTCCTTAAACCATTGATAAAACGGGGAGGTTAGATTATATGTGCTCTCAACAATTGTGCATATAATGATCACAGCTATAAACACATTTGACAAAGAAAAAAAATGACAGGATGGGAATATACTGAAGTGTTTACACTGGTTGTATTAGAGTTGCAGGATTAATTGCAATTCCTTTTTCTCTTCTTTGATTTTAAAAATATAGTTCCCATAAATGTTTTCTTCCTTAATTACAGATTATAGTGGAAATGTTCACATTTCCAACTCTCCAGGGAGAGCTCAGAACTCCACCTATGTTTCCTCCAAAGGTTTCCTCCTGCTGCTCACCTGAGCTGCCGGTCCCAGCACACAGCCACCATCACCAGCAAGTTCCCCAAGATGGCCATCAGGATAACCGCCGAGAGAAACGTGAGCAGCACGACCTTCTCCACTGACCCGAAACCCTCCTTGGAACTGAAAGACACACATGAGCACAAAGAATTGAATGAAACTCTGGGACACAGGAAAGAAAATTCATCTTTTCATCATTGACCTTCAGAAAGGTAACTTCACCATCAGCTGATAACACATCATGCATTTAGTATACACCAAAATCTGATCTTGCCACCTGACATGTTAACCTGGTTAGCTCCTTACATAAGAGTATAAGGCTTAGAGAGGTGAATTAATAAGCCTGGGATTGCAGTTATTTTCCATCCAAGAACTTGTTGCTTTCCTTCAGGGCACTTAGTTCAACTCATATTCAGACATATATGGTTGATTCCTGTTTTGTGCACCTACTCAACTAGATTGCAAAAGTTGTTGAGTGAATGAATGATAGTAACTTTGTAACTGCAGGAGCAGACCAATCTGGTTCAACTTTGTGTATAAAATGGAGAGCCGTGTTTTAGTTGCCATGGAATCCCAGGTTGCAAGTTGAACTGACCAAGCCCAGATGAACCAAGCATGGAACTCGAGGGTGGAACCTAAGTGCTTGGACCAAGGCATGGGGACTAAATGAAGTGGACATCTCATGGCATGATCCATGATTTAATCATATAGAGCCCTAGCATCACCTTATGGCACAACCCAGTAAGATCATACCTCCTGGCATTACCTTGTCACAAGGATCCAATCAGATCATGCCTTATTACCCTCTCCCTATAAAACCTGCCACAGCTCCCAGCTCAGGGAGACAGATTTGAGCTCTGCCTTTTTCTTCCTTGCCAGTCAACTTATAATAAAGCCTTTCTTTTCCCAAAATCCAGGGCTATAAGTATTGGCTTCTGTGAATATCAGCAAGGATCCCACTGCTTGCTCAGTAACAACTTGAACCAGTTGTTACTGGGCAAGTTACTTTGCATTCAAGTAGTTACTTTGCCTGAATGCAAAGCCATTTCTTGTTACAGTGTCTCATTCAAGCCCATGCAGAAGCTTCTGGTTACAGGTAGGCTCTCCCAGAGAAAAAAGATTGTGGGAGAGGTCTGATGGTTGTTTTTACACCAGTTCACCTGGACAAATTGAATTCAGATTCTGTGAAGATCGTTGGAAAGATGGCAACCAATAAATAAGCTCAGTGGCTCCTTTTACCACGCTGATCATTTCTTTTAGTGCTCACAATGTGTCATTGTTTTTGCAGTTCAAATTTGTGTTCTCGTCAATTTCAGCATTTGATTTAAGTCTACAAATGTTGCCTTCCCCATGTAAACTCAGCATTTTGTTTTATTAACTTGAAAATGAAGGTCTCTTTTCAATGAAAGCATGATATCTGCAGATTAATATTCAGAAGTTATAGGTATTTTAATAACTTTTATAGTATAATAAAATGTTATTTTTAATGAAGTTTCAAAGAATCTTAAAACTCCTAGACCATGGGTGTTCAATCTTTTGGCTTCTCTGGTCCACATTGGAAGAAGAAGAATTGTCGTGGGCCACAGATAAAATACACTAATGATAGCTGATGAGCTAAAAAATTTTTTTTGCAAAAAGAAACTCACAATGTTTTAAGAAAGTTTATAGATTGTGTTGAGCTGCATTAAAAGCTGTCCTGGGCTGCTGCATGTGCCCCTATAGGCCATGGATTGAACAAGTTTATCCTAGACCCAAACTCTACATTTGAATACGGGAAAAACTGGGCCCAGACAGAAGAACTGACTTGTTACAGCATGTTAGTGGCTGGTCTGGGAGAGCTGCTTGTCCTGTGAGTCCACCACTGAGAACACAGGGTTCCAAAAATCAAGAATTCCCTGTCTTTCCTGAGCTCTTTTGACTGAAAATTAAGATGCATGCTCTCTCCGAATGGCAGCAGCCTGCAAAGTCCCGGCTTTGGCGTTGTCCAGAACTTCTGTTAAGATGGCACAGAAGACAAGATGCCAAAGGAAATGAGGAACCAGTCTGGCAGTGGTTGGAGAATGAGAAAGTCCCTCCATTCTTCTGAGAAGTGTTTTTATAGACAGATTGATTGTTTGTGATTGGGGTTTAGTTGGAAAGAAATTCCAGATATGCTTATCTCAATCACTCTTCCACACTTAAGTTCTAACTATCAACAGCACAAACATTAGATAGGGAAGATTTAATTCAATGAGGAAAATTGTACACTTAGGAAAAAGACCTTACTAGGCTGATGTGGCCACCAAAAACTCATTTGATCTTAGGTCATGTTCATTGAGTTAAAGCACTAGCAAAGGAGGTGATGGTGGTTCTCTTCCCTGTTCTTCTCAGAGACTGACTCACAGCCCCTCTGAAACTCATCTCCTTCACCCCCAGCGCCTCTATATTTGAGGTGCCTTCTTCCTGGAATGTTTCTTCAGTGACTGACTTCTTGTCATTCAGGTCTCAGATTAAATTTAACCCCCACTTAATGTACCACAGCCAACAAACATTTTTCATTTTCTTTATAGCATTTACTGTTATCTGAAATGATTTGTTACTGATTGCTGTCTGTCCCCCAATTCCACAGATTGACTTTGGTTATATTTTTCACTATAATCTCTAGTGTCTGGCACAGTGTCTAGTCTAGAGTATGTATTATTATGTATTAATTTTACATATGCATTACATAATAAGTGCTCAATTACTTGCTGATTGAGTGAAAGAGAGCTATATTGTGCTCATAATGATAACATTTATTATTCAATGTCTTCAAAGGCTGGTTGAAAGTATAGATATTTTACCTAGAGAAAAGAAGGTCCATGGATGAAATAAAAAAGCTATTTTTAACTACCTGAAGGCTGCCATTTTAAATAAGAGTAGATTTACATATTCATTCATTCAATTATTTCTGAGCACCTACTCTGTGTTAGGCATTGTTGTATGTCCTAGAGAGACAGCAATAGTCAAACAGAGAGCAAAACAGACAATAAACAGATGCACAAGACAGTATGTAAAGTGTCAGCTGATGATATACTCCACGGCAAAAAAAAAAAAAAAAAAAAAAAAAGTCTAGGAGGGTAAGGAGGACTGGATGGCCAGTGGGGGATTGCAGGCTGGCTGTTTAATAAAGGATGTGAGAGAAAGCTCAATGATAATGTTATCACAGGTTGTGAGACTAACTAGGACCAGTGGGTGGGTTTTAAGCAGTGGTTCACAGCCTTAGCTGCATATTTAAGTTACCTGAGGAGCCTTAAAAAATGCTGATTCTGGGAATCCACCCTCAAAGGTGCTGATTTAATTGGTCTGGATTGCAACTCGGATGGAGAAATTTTTAAAAGCTCCCAGGTGACTCTGATGTGCAGTGAAGGATAAGAGTCACTGACAGAGGGAGGCAAGATTTAGTACTAGATAATAAGAGCCTTCTAACAACTAAAGATGATCTGCAATAGCTTCCTGGTGTTGTTTTGTGCTCCCTGGCACAGAAAGTGTTTAAGTGCCATCAGACCTGAATGGCAATGAGATAGTAATTTGCACTCATTAGGATGGCAGTTATAAAAAACAAAACAACAAACAAAAAATAAAAAGTGTCAGTGTGAATGTGGGGAAATTGAAACACTTGTGGATTGCCGGTGGGAATGTAAAATGATACCGCCATCGTGGAAAAACAAGTTTGATGGTTTCTCTAAAGGTTAAATATAGAATGCCTATGTGATCCCACAATTCAATCCCAGGCGTACACCCAAAAGAACTGAAAGCAGGGATACAAACAGACACTTGTATACCAATGTCTATAGCAGCATTATTCACAATAGCCCAAAGGTGAACACAGCTCAAGTTTCCACTAACAGATAAGCAAATAAATAGAATGTGGTATACACATACTAGAAAATGTTATTTCTCTATAAAAAGAAATGAAGTTTTCATACATGCTACCACATGGATGAACCTTAAAAATAAATGAAACAAATAAATAAGTGAAATAAACCACACACAAAAGGAAAAATATTGTGATTCCACTTACACGAGGATTCTAGATTGGCGAATTCATGGGGAAAGAAAATAGAAAAGTCATTATCAGGGAGGAACTGGGAACTCAGGGGAATGGGGAGGTATTATTTAAGAAGTACAGAGTGTTTGAAATGATTTAAAAAATTCTGGAAGTGGAGAGTAGTAATCGTTGCACACCACTGTGAATGTTCTTTTTTAGCTTTTATTTTAGGTTCAGGGGTACACATGCAAGTTTGTTATACAGGGGGTGTGGTGTACAGATTATTTCATCACCCATGTAACAGGCATAGTTTGATAGGTAGTGATCCTCCCTCTCCTCCCACCTTCCACCCTCAAGTAGGTTCCAGTGTCTGTTGTTCCCTTCATTGTGTCCATCATGTACTCAGGGTTCAGCTCCCACTTGTAAGTGATATCATGCTGTATTTGATTTTCTGTTCCTCTGTTAATTTTCTTAGGATAATGGCCTCCAGCTCCATCGATGTTGCTGCAAAGTACATGATCTCATTCTCTTTGGGGACTTAATATCACTAAATTATATGCTTAAAATTCATGTTTTATATATTAATAAATTTTGTTACTTATATTTTAGCATGATATAAAAAAAGAATTCCTGGATGACCACATAACAAGATACTGTACAAGCCTCCTGTATTGGAGGCAGGCTGGCCTGGCTGTTTTAGGTCGCTTTTTTGTTTATAGTCCATGATTTAAACATATCCTTAGAATATGAATTATCCATCAACCCCACCGCGACCATTAGAATCGTCTCTCTTGTACTGTCTTTTCTTTTTTATTGCATTTTAGGTTTTGGGTTACATGTGAAGAACATGCAAGATTATTGCATAGGTACACACGTGGCAGTGTGATTTGCTGCCTTCCACCCCTTCACCTATATCTGGCATTTCTCCCCATGCCATCCCCCCCACAACTCCCCACCTACCGCTGTCCCTCCCCTATTTCCCTCCAACGAACCCCAGTGTGTAGTGCTCCCCGCCCTGTGTCCATATGTTCTCATTGTTCAACACCCGCCGATGAGTGAGAACATGCACTGTTTGATGTTCTGCTCCTGTGTCAGTTTGCTGAGAATTATGGCC